TTTTTTTTGTGCAAGAAAAGAAGGCTATGCAGAGCCTAGACAAGAATCGACCGAGAATAGGACACGCCGACCCTGTCATGATGTAACCAAATACTCGCTTCTGGCGGAGGGCTCGCCAACCGGTGAAGACCACTTGACCCTTTGATGCCAAAAAAGTCAAATAATCTGCTACAAAATTGGCCTCACGATAGTCATGACTAATCGTAAAATTATCTTTGAGAACTTGTCACTTGGACAAGTTGATTTTTTAATAATGTTGGGGATTGGTGAATAAAAATCTTATAAAGTAAGATTGGAAGTAAAAACAAAAATGATATTGTTTTGCAAGATATTTTATGAAACTATGATTGGATGCCAATTTTTAATTTAAAATTCAGTCAAATTCTATTTTTCAATAATTATTGTGGATTAGTGAATAAAAGTCTTAAGTGTGATTGGAAGTAAAAACAAAAATGATTCTGTTTTGCAAGATATTTTTTATAAGGAATTATTTGGATGCAAATTTTCTTCAGTCAAATTCTCCAAAATAACTTATAAATATTGATATAATCAAATAGTATCAATTAAATGAACATTTTCCAGGAAAATTTAATTTATCAATTCACATATTTAATTATTTTAACTATCAATTATCTACAGTCATTATTTTATTATTTTTATGTTACATCAACTTGAGTAATTGCATTTTAACTCATGTAATGACAAACTCAAAATTAAATATAAATTTTCACCGATTTTTTTTTTCTTTAGATTTTAACCCATTTCATTTAAGAAATTGTGGGACTTGCATTTTGACGTTCCAACTCTTTTTTTTTTTTTTAAACGATAGAGCTTTTATATAAGAATAATTAATTACATCTAAAGAACAATCCAACAGTTGAAGAAGCAGCTCTAGAGCTGAATCTAGTGGGAGGACAGACTCGAAAGTCACCTAGATCTACACTATACCAACTCAAAATGTCAAAATTTTAAGACTTAACAGTATTTGTAACCTTGAATCAAAATATGGCTTGAATCTTGATAGCTTCATGTATTACTTTACGTCACTATACATCTTATTCTTATCTTAATATAACCGATAAACGATATAAATAAAACGAACCTTTTATTTGAAAATAACGCATACATAAATAAATTTATTATCCTTTAACCTCATTTGCATTTTATTGGATTTTTTATTTTTTTTATTGGAAAATGCACAATATTTACGTAGTCATGCATACATACAGTAGCGAAACCAGCCGGTCATCTCGGGGAGGGCCTAATTTACCGCGGCGCACCACCCCCACTCCGGCCATCCCGCGCGCACCACCCCCACTCCGGCATCGGAAGGGCGCTCAAAGGGCTTTTGTGGACGCTCTAAAAAATTTTCGCAGGATATAAAGGAATACTCTAGAGATTTTTCTAAAAATCAAACTAGTCCGGAATTAAACTGGTATACTTAAACTGAATTGTTTTAACTCGAAAAATACCCGAATTTATACTAATAAAAATCTCGGACGCAATTATAATAATAATAAAAAATTATACCTCCTTTCAAATAGACGAAAAACTGAAAAAATTGAGAAAACGAAGCCTCGAACGATCGAACTCGTCCTCGACAAATTTGCTCCTTTTGATACTATTTAACGCAGAAATTCAAACTCCCATAATAAATGCTCAGAACTCCGAAAAATGCAAAATTTGTCCGTATGGAATTATGTTTGAATTGTCTACACGCTCCAACTCAATTCTCGTTAAACCGAGGTCACACGGAACCTTACGGAACCCCGCAAAACGGCTTTTTATTCTTCTAATTATGCGCACTCGACTTCGAGCTTCTCAAAATAAATGCTCCAAACTTCGAAATGTGAAATAAATTTTACGAACGGCTTCTACTGTTCTCGTGCTTTCAAGAAAGCACTCCTTCTAATTTTCAGCACGCCTAACGAGGGCCGACGGTTACTCGAAGTCTAGACATGAAAATGACAATAAAATCACCGTCACTGCCATTTTTCTCTCAACTTCGGGCTACCCAAAATAAATTGTCGAGACCTCAAAATTATAAATCGATGCCACCAACGCACTCTTCGCTTCCCGTACTTTCATAAAAGTATTTTTTGGTAATGGTCGACTCGGTTTTTGAGTCCCGTCGGTACACCGCAAGTCGGCTAATTAACCAACTCAAAATATAATAAAAATGAAAAAATTATTAAATTCTGCTGCTGTTATAGTTCTCCTTGTTCCGAAACCAGGATCCCGTTTCGGGGAAGGCCCAATTTGTCTTTAAAAAAATTTTCACGACAAAATCGGTGGCGCCCCTCTGCCCATGTATGTACCGCATGAAATCGGGGAGGGCCCAACATGCGCACTCAAAAAAAAATCTTCCAATTCCTGCAAAATTCTCCACCCCTAATTTAATTTTTTTTTTTTTTAGCGCCTCTCCGACCCCCCAAGTGCTTTCGCCCCTGCATACATAAATTATATCACCAAAAATAGCAATGCCACTAGTTACACTTGTCCAAATTCCATACTGGTTTTGACTTGTTCTGTTCTTATCTTATTGTAAATTCGAGCACGCATTTAGTGTGACAAACTTGAAACTTTACGTGGTATTTGATTTTATGCAGGCTTGTCCCAAATTTGGACTTACACTAGTAATGTTATTAGGAAATGTTACGGTCTTGTTATGGAACCATTCCATCAAAATTTGTAACGGTTACATTATGATTCAACGGTTACATTATGATCTAAATGTTACAAACCCGACAGAATAATCTCGTAACGAGACTGTAGCATCTCCCAATGTTATTATGACGTTTTCTCATTAAATATATTAAGCAAAAACTTACTAACATCACTAAGACTTTTGAGAGATACTCTAATTGTTGGGTGTATTGATCCAATATTAATAATTAAATACAAATGTGTATTTATACTATCAAATGCTCTATTACTAGTTATATTGTTTTTAAAAGTATAATATCTTCAAATAAAAATGTGAATATATGTTAAAAAAATACATTTACCTAACTGTTAGACTGACCTAACAAAGACCAACTGAACGAACAATAGATAATTACTTTAATTTTATCGTTGTCTAAGTATAGTTTCAGATGAAAATTCATAGCGATTATATGAACAATAGTATAATTATTAACTTTTTATTCAAAATTGCGTAAGAGGCCAGTCGTGTTGAGCCTCTTCAATGTGGCTTTTGACATAATACAAAATCTTTCACATCATCAACTTTTGATTATTATCTTGTCATGAACTCTTTCATGATGATCAGGTAGTTGACATTTAACCTGACAATGTTGAGCTTATTTTCTAATATCTAACATCATGTTAAAAATGATGACTCATCAATTTTACTATTACATTTTTGTTTAATTATTTATTGTTCTTCTATCAATGAATTATTTTAATTAGTCCACCTATACAAATAAATTCTTATCAAATTGATTCATGGAAGATAATATAGTTTGACAGTTTTGCTATGGAACCATCAGATGACTCGGCTTATGGAGTCACCCATAGTTATTCACAAATAGTGTATCGACACATGTCCTACAATAAATACATTTTGAACATGTGTCAATACATTAACTGATCGATGGCTCCATAGAATTTTTGTTTAGTTTGATTCAAATTTTTAGCCTTATAACATTATTAAATTGTAGATAAAATCACAATTATTAATTAATATGTGCTAAAAATCATTGGCTTTAAAGCTATAAATTTAAGGATGCTATTAGGAACAACCATAATTTATCATTAATATTCATTCTATTTAAAATCCATCATTTATGCCGGAGGAAAAGCACTTGAAAAATTGAATTTGACTTTCCCCACCGGAAAAACAAAGCAAATACCATAAATTATAGGATCAAGAAATGGTTTTGATATGTTCTTTCTTTATTACATATTCAAAGCTTACGATTCATGAACACCGTTGCAAAAATCCATAATATATATAACTTCCCATATTTATAGGGCACTGACTGCAATGTCTTATCTCCCACAAAAAAATGAAAATAAAAAATAAAAAAAAATTATAATAATAATAATATTATTATTTAATAATAATAATAATAATAATAATAATAATAATAATAATAATAATAATAATAATAATAATAATAATAATAATAATAATAATAATATTAATAATAATAATAATAAAGATCATACATATGCCCTATGTTGCTACCAGACCAGAGGAACAGTGATTGCATTGCAACTTGAAAAGGATTAGGAAAATTAGAATAAAACAAAATAATTTAAAATTTAATTAATCTGTTTTCTCAAACTAAAACCCTAGACAGTTTACCAGTTCTTGTAGTAGCACATCTAAGTGAAAGTCCTAATTTGGCCAAGAACACAAACCAGTTCTCCCCCTTCACAAACAAAAATTCGACCCGACTCGTGTGGGCACTTTTCAACCCGTGTGGCTAGAATCGAATATACCCTTCACAAGCATGATCTTCCAAGCAAAATATATACATGTATACAAAGTATCCCCCTGTGCCAGAAGAACAATTAACTTCACTTAGCTATATAAGTAACAAGAATAAGAATGCATAGGATTGTAGCTCATCTACAAGAAAGGTAACAAGCAAGCAATTCTAAACTCAATCTATTGAATGAAGATGAAACATTATAACAATAGATGAAAAGCACAAATCACCCAAAATACTCTTCTTCTACTAGCATCTCATAGATATATATATATATACACGAAGGCAAATTCCATAAACAAGCAAGGTTTTTTGAAAGTCTACCGCGTTTTACCTACAACGAAAAGCATCCAAAATAACCAAAACACGCCTAATCACCGAGACAAAATTATTCACCGAATCACCACACATTGTTCATTGAAACACCGAGCATCCTAGCAAATGCAAGCATACATCACGCAAACAGAAATCGACAGCTAATACCAAGAAGCGAGAACATGTATTAAACTACACGAAACGAAACAAACTAAAAGCTAATGAAACATTTTTTTTTTCCAAAATTCACCATGCGCTCTTCTTCTTTGAGCGATAGTAACCAAGATACCACTCGACAAACTTCTTCAAACCCGTCTCAAGATCGGTCGTGGGCTTATACCCGAGCTCCTTCATTGCCAAACTAATGTTCGCGTGCGTGAAAAGAACATCCCCATTCCTCGGCATAGTCAGCACCCTCTTTTTCGCCTTAACTTTCAAAAGCTTCTCCAAGATGTTCACGAGCTTCCCGACGGGGACAGGGCTCGTATTCCCCAAATTATATATCCTCAACTGGGCCGGCCCCATTTTCTTGCCTCCACTCCCCGTGCTCTTTTTCGCTGTATCAAGAGCTGCCAAACAGCCCCTAACCACGTCATCGATGTACGTGAAGTCCCGGGCCACGGTCGCATGATCAGCCCCTTCAAACACCTTGATCTCCTTCCCCCTCAGAATATCTTTGGTGAAGAAGTAGTAGGCCATATCGGGCCTGCCCCATGGGCCGTAAACCGTGAAGAAGCGAAGCCCGGTGATCGAGAGCCCATATATGTGGTTGTAAGTGTGGGCTATTTCCTCGCCGGCCTTTTTGGTGGCGGCGTACAGGCTGGCGGGCTGGTCGGTCCGGTCCTTCTCCGAGAAGGGCACCTTGGAATTGAGCCCGTAGACCGAGCTAGACGAGGCCCAGACGATACTGGGCTGCGGGTCTGCGTTCTTGCAGGCCTCGAGCAGGCTGACAAAGCCGTTAACGTTGCTGTGGATGTACGAGCCAGGGTTTTGCATCGCGTACCGGACGCCGGCCTGGGCCGCCAGGTGCATCACGTGCGTGAAGTGCACGATCTCGAAGAGCTTGCCCAGCAATTCGCCGTCGTTCAGGTCGGCCTCCACGATGTACACGCCCTGGCGGTCGAGGAGGCTCTTTCGGGCTTTTTTCAGCCCGGATTCGTAGTAGGTGTTGAAGTTGTCGAGGCCCACCACGCCGTCACCGCGCTGCTTGAGGGCGGCGGCGACGTGGCTCCCCACGAAGCCGGCGGCGCCGGTGACAAGGACGGTGAGGCCGGAGCTAGTGCGAGGACGGGCCGAGTTTCGGGCCCGGACCTCCCAGTTCGGGCCGGGACGCGCCCGCTCGGGATGGACGGAGGTTTTGAGGCTGCGGCGTTTTCCGGCGGTGGAGGCGGCGGGAGGGGAGCGGAGGAGGAAAATGAGGAGGAAAGAGAGGAAGAGGAAGGACCAGAGAGTGAGGCGCGGGTGGAAGCGGAGGCGGTGTAAGGCGTAGGAGGACGATTTGATCTTCCCGGTGGAAGATGGGATTATGGGGTCTAAATGAGAGAGTATGGGCTTCAACTGAGTCATCGGAAAACTGATCGGAAAACACCAAGATTCGATTTTTTTTTTCTTTTTTTTTTTCGAACTTTGGGTGAAAAGTACGAGGTGGGGTTTTTAACCGTTTAAAAGGGGTTTCTGCAAATTTGTTCTTTTTCTTTGTTTGCTGCACAAAAAAGCAGAATTTACAGTGTGGGGACGTTTTTCGGATTTAATGGGGAATTTTGGGCAAAGAGAAAGGGATTTATTTGCTTGTTTTATAGCGCAACGGTGGGGATGTGCTGGCGTCTGGTAGGAAACCAAAAAAGGTGACGTTTATTTATTTTAGGACAAAGTCTTCAAGATTGAATTTTGAAAAAAATTATTAGTGCATTGGTAAATATAGAAATGTTCCCCTATCCACAGTGGACACATGTTAATATGTCTACCGCGTAGATGGCATGCACTCATTGGTAATGTTAATATGTTTAAAAAATACATCACTAATAAATGCATACCCACGGTGGACACATGTTAATATGTCCACCGCGTAGATGACATGCACTCATTGGTAATGTTAATATGTTTAAAAAATACATCACCAATAAATGCATGCCACCTACGTGGTGGACATATTAACATGTGTCCACCGTGGGTAGGTGATCATTTCTCTCCGTAAATATTACTTTATTGTTGTTACTGTAATATTATTAAGGAAATCACCCTTGTGTTATTTACTTATTTTTCAAAATTTTCTGTTATAATATTTTGGTAGTAGGGTAAGTGAATTTTATCTTGCTTTTGGTACATCCACTTGTCATATATATATATTTTTTTTTTTAATAAAAATCATACTTATATCATAATCATACTTTTATTTATATTATTTTTTAAGTTATAATTTTTCACGAATATCTTTAAAAACGTATAATTGCCATTCCTAGTATAAAGAGAAATTCTACAGTTCTTTTAAGAATTTTACGGAATGGTTTCGTCGGAGTTTGTAACCGTTAGATTAATTATCCACGACGATTACATGATAATTTAACAGTTACAAATCTCGACGGAATGGTTTCGTAACAAAACTGTAACATTTCTCAAAAGTAAAAACCACCCTTGCATGAATTTGGGTTCAATTTAATATAATCTATACTTATATAAAGAGCTATCATATTTACTAAAATTAGTAGAAAAAAAAAAGGTCATCATTTAATGCTATCCATAAATAGTAGTTTTATTATTTTTTTTATTTTTCCTTAAAAAACATACAATTTAATTTATAAATACGCTTTAATATAGTCATACAATTTAATCGTACAATTTAATTTACAAAAATCATGCAATTTATTTTTTTTCTTTAAAAACACATTTTAATATATATATATATAATAGCTTTTTTTAATAAATTTGAATATAATGTGTTACTTAAATATAACCAAATTTATTTAGAAAATCGTATCGATCCAACCAGTTCAACCGACTGATGTTGATTCAATAGCAAAAATTATATTCAAGTGAACTAGACTGATTATAAACCTGTTCTCGGTCCATCCGGTCGGACTGTGTCCAACACGGTTTAATTTAAAAATGATGGGTAAATCTTGATTAATTTATTTATATATTTAATTTATAATACAATCGTAATATTGTTTTCCCGTGCGATTGCATCGCACGGGCCACGCACTAGTTTACCTACACTGCCGTACATGTAATTTCCCTTTCTTCTTTAGAGGGGTAAAATAGTTGGGCCATCTTCATATAGGGTAAAATAAGTTATAATGACAAAAGTCAAAATTCAAATCTTTGTGATCTACTTTGCTTTGTGATAAAGTTCAAATTGAAAAAATAAAAAAAAAAAAAAAAAAAAAAGAAAAATAAAAAAAAAAAGATGCAAAGTAGAATTGGATTTTCCTTTGGAAATTGTAAATATGAACTATGGATGGTAAAAACTGACTCATAATTCCCAATAAAGATTGTAATAAATATATAAAATGCTGAACATGGGAAAAAATCCCTAGAATTACTTCAAAATCTGTCAACCAAAAATCTTTAGGTATAAGTAACTGAAAGCAGTGTGAGAGCGATGCCAGTGTAAGAAGAACATGCCATTAATTTTTTGTTGATAGTGGCTTCAAATGGGATAAGAAGGTCAAAATGATGGTTTTATTATTTTTTTAACGAAACGATAGGAATCTCATTAAATAAAAACAAAAAACATAGTTCGAATACGAAGCAATCAAAACAACCAAAATGAAACGCGCTGACAATGGAAGACCTCCCCGAGGAGGTCTAAACCAGAAGAGGAAGGCTTTATTACTGGTATTATTGATTTATCCTGCAATCATACTATGGTTCAATTTGACTTACTATTACTTATTAGATTCAAATATGCATTTAATTTAATTGCTTTAAAGAACAATAGTTGAGGAAATATATATTTTGTTTTTGAAAAAAAAAAAACAATTATTTACTAAATGGCACTCAGATTCTCGTCTTATGTCGATTGATTACATTTATTAATAAAATAATTTTATATGTTTACTACTACCTCCCTTTTTAAATAAATGTCGTTTTGACTTTTTTTGATTCATCCATTTTGCTATGTATCTAGACATATGTCTAGATACAAAATAATGCAATGTAAGCATCAGTGATAAAAATAAATTGAAAATAAATCCTATAAACTGTAAAAATTAGTTTTAAGTTAGTTATATACGCTCTTGGGCGAAAGAGATTGATGATCTAATGTCTAATGCGGCAGTATCTAGTCGACTACAACACATGCGTCGGCAAACAATGTTGCCCATGCTATTGCTAATTTTGCTTCTTTTTCAAACTCCCCGTTCTTATGGAAGGCCGATGTTTTTCCTCTTTAGTTTAAAGAACTTATTTGTAATGACTTTGTTTCTTGATCTATTAATGATAAGTTCTTTTTCTAGTAAAAAAATAAAATAAAAATAATAATAATAATAATAATAATAATAATAATAATAATAATCCCCTTATCCCCCTATATATTAATCCAGAACGCGCTGAGCCTACGTGGCTGCTTCTGGTGCTTCGGAATCCTATGTGGCAAAATTACATGCTTCGGTATTAGGCTTGGATAAATTTTTATTTAATTACAAACCAAAAATAATTAGGTTCGGATTACCATAAATATGTTGATTATTTATGGTCATATTACATGTATTAATTTACATTTTAATATCATTCCTTATTATAACAATTGAATTGTATATATATTTTAAAAGTTAATAACAGTTGTATTTTTTATCAGTTTTACATATGTAATATATCAAATTAATCTTATTTTGATGAGCTTTGATTTAACATCCATATTGTATGTATAAAAAAACCATTTAGCCCAAATGAAACATTTTCATGTTACATTAACAATTAACAGAAAAATAACTTAAAAAAACCATTAGTTTTTGCATTGGGGATTATCATTTTATTTCTAAAACGATGATTTTCACAATAATTACAAGAAAACGGTTATAACAACTTAAGCAAACAGCTACAAAGATTAGATCGAGGAGACTTACTCACCGTCAGTCTAGAGTCGATAACACAACGCAAACCCAAAAAGAAATATATATATATATATATATAATATATATATAATTAAAAATTAAAAATTACTAAATTCCCAAATGAAATACTGCAATTAACCAATAATATAAACTAAACAACATATAATAGAAAAAAACACAGCAAAAATAAAAGAAAACAACCACTAAGATCGACTCTCGTCCACATCAATCCCGTACCCTTCAAGTAGATCATTGTCCTTAAGGATAAAATTCGGAAATTGGTTGCGGATAGCCGGATACCTTGCAGGTTCTCCCCAGTCGCCTCCTCCTTCAGCAATTCCTCCCACTCGAGCAAGGTTTCCCAACGAAAGCGCCCGACCTTCAATAGTCCATTGCCCAGCTAGGCAGCACAAGAAGTTGTTCCTCCTGACTCACCACCAACAACCGAGTCTTGATCTTTGGATATCACCTAGGCTCTTTTTCAATTGTAAAACGTGGATAAAGGGATGAATTTGAGAATCCATAGGCAATTCAAGCTTGTACGCCACCTTTCCCACTCTTTCTTTGACTTGATTCGGCCCCTAAAAATGTCTCCCCAGCTAATATAATTCCTTCTGCGAAATGGTCTGTTGACTACGTTAAAGTGCTGAGACGAACAAAATAAAAAGAATAAAAAATTCTCAAACACTCAATTGAATATAATGAATGATGACACAATTATTGCAGCAGCTCTCTTCAACTGATTGTTTGAGTATACTTATATACAATCTCCTTGAAGTAAGGAGTCTTCACAAGAAAGCTCAACATTTACCCAACTCTCAAAAACTTATGCAGTTAACTCATATTCGACACCCTTCGTTCACATTCCAAACGGTAGATACTGTACAAATATAACGAAACCATTAACTTCCCCTACAAAAAGAAAAATATCGAATCACCAAAAATCGCGACAAGAGCACAAGCCATCCTTAAATCTATGAAACCTATTCGCATCTCTTACAACTATCTCACGACCCACAATACTGCTGATAAACTTCAACACTGTGTGGCAATCCCCACAAACACGCAAGTTCTTGATCACACGTATGCATGATCCGGGACTCGACTTTAGAAGCCCATATGCCACGGCCAGCCTCTCGCTATGCCAAAACAGCTGCCTTTCCTTTTCCTGTTGCTCCATGTCATGCAACACAAAAGAAGTATCGGGCAAATACCCTCTTCTCCTCATCTCTTCATCCAGTTCCTTCAAACACTCAAAAATCTCATCTTTCATGGCATGCGCACTCTCCCCAGCATAGAAAACCTCGTTTTCCTTCCCCAAGTCAACACAGCTATAACCCGGTTCCTTTTTCACCTCCAAATTCGCCATCAGTTTTCTCACAGCCGACACTCTCTCCCACATGGCCGCACGAGCATACACATTCGACATCAGAATGCACGTTGACGGGTCTTCCAGGCCCACCTGGAGAAGATGGTTCGCGATCCGAACACCCGTTTCGGTTTCACCCTTCTGAGCACAAGCGCTGAGTAAAGTGGCCCACACGGCCTCGTCTGGCTCGAACGGCATCGAGTTAAGCACGTGCTCTGCTTTTTCCAGGTGGCCCGACCGGCTGTACAGATCCACCAAGCACGTGTAGTGCTGAAGGGAAGGTTTTATCCCAAAATCATCGACCATCGAGTTAAAAAGCTGTAAGCCTCTTTCCACCAGACCTGCATGACTGCACGCGTAAATCAACCCAGTAAAAGTTACTTCATTTGGTTTCAAGTCGGTAATAATCATCTCGTCGTAAAAAGAGAGTGCCTCATCCGCCCTGCCGTGCTGGGCCAGCCCGACAATAATTGAAGTCCAAGAGATGATATCTCTCGTTTTCATGCTTTTAAAGATTTTCTCTGCAGATAATATTTCGCTGCATTTGGCATACATGTCGATCAAGGCATTATTTAGGTAGGAGTTCGACTCGAACCCAAGGCCTATGACCAGCCTGTGAACTTGTTTCCCGAGCGCCAGCATGGCCAAACTAGCCGAACCGGCTATCAAGCTGGAGAAAATGAAAGGTTCTTGATTATCAACTCCTTCTCCCCTCATTTCGTTGAAAATCTTAAACGACTCGATACTATGCCCACCCTGAACAAAGCCCGAAATCAGGGCCGTCCAAGAATGCAAATTTTTACAAGGCATTTTGTGTAAAAGTTCAAGGGTTTCACTTTTCCTGCCCATCCGAGCATACCCGTACATCAAGCTAGTCCAAGAGACTACATTTTTTGACACAATCGAGCTAAATACCTTATTAGCCTCATCCGGTAGCCCGCATTTCGCATAAAAATCAACAAGGGCCGATTTGACGACATCGTCATCCGAATAAGGGGAGACAAGGAACCGGGCGTGCAGCTGCAGGCCGGGCCCCAGGGCACTCGAGCCCGCGCAGGCCCTGACCAGGCTAGCAAAGATAAAATGGTCCGGGTCGGGCCCACCACCGAATATCATCCTCGAAAACAGGAGGAGCGTGCGGGTCGGGAGGTTCGCCTGGTTGTGGGCAGTGAAAATGGAGGCCCACGAGACCAGGTCCCTGTGGGGCATTGTGTCGAACACGTGGAGGGCGTCCTCGAGGTGGCCGCATTTGCCGTACATGTTGATGAGCGCGTTGGGAAAGAGGGGCCCGTGAAGGTCCAGGCCCGATTTGATGACGTGGGCATGAGCTTTCTTGCCCTGTAATGGGAGCTGGAATTTGCTGCACTGCTTTATGTGGTGCAAAATTGAAGCTTTTGCGCTTGAAGTTAGCATGCATATAGATGTGCAGTAATTGTTAATCAATCACACGGAGACAAAATTAACGCATTTTGGATAATGAAAAAAAAAATAAAAAATGAGATGGGCAAAACCTACTAATGCATTTTTGGAAATTTATAATAATTTTATTGGAGAATGCTACCATCCCGTTACGGGATGGTTCCGTTGTGTTTTCTAGTCATAGATATATATGTAATCTAGTGATGAGTAGTTAATCCAACGCTTAAAAATACAACGGAACCATCCCGTAACGGGATGGTAGCATTGTCCAATTTTATTATCTATATATATATAATTGCTCGCATACAGAATTTAATAAAATATTTAATAAAATCTCCATTCATTTTCCCGTTCATTTTTTCAATTAATGTAGAACCGTTACATTTTACATTAATAAAGTGTAATAATAATTTTAATATAATTTATTCACTACTAACACTAATTGATTACAACTTTACATTAAATAGTATGTGGAAGTTACATACTTATAAAAAATTGTATTGCATTTTTTTTTCTTTAAAATACTTTTCTAAAATAAAATATTTTTGTTCTTTTTAAGAGATTTTTATCTAATAAGTTAATTGGCATGAGTGTCATAATTAAACACCTTAAAATCACATAAACAAATGCTATAACAATGATAAAAATAATTGTAATACTTTTCTAACTAATTAATTGTATGGTCTCTCTAAATTACTAAATTATATTAGCCATTAAAATTTATGGCATCAATATAAAGATTCATACGTAAGTTAAATAATTTATATTTACATTACACATTTGCATGTAGTCCAAATTTAAAATGTAATACATCAATTATTTAATATAAAATTTGTATATATTGTATACATAAATATAATATAAGAATTTTTATTTTTCTTTGTGCATGTGCACAGGATGAATACTAGTTTACATTAAACGTGGTAAGTCCACAATAATGTGGACAATAATTTCTCATTTCGATGAGAAGATAAATATATATCAAATCTAAGTAGTGACCTTAAAATATTGTTTTAAAGAGTTTTTATGAGAAATGAAAACTTTTTTTTTTTCAAATGGGATTTAGATATTAAATTAAATTCAAAAACATTACAATAGTTAATCAATTAATTACAAGAATCATCCCAACCAACAAAGTGACACAAATAAACGAACCACAGTGGAGTCACGTTAACGAAAGAGCTCGTTTTTCTTTCAAACCAAGGTGACTAAAATACTCCATAAAGAATATTAGGCTACTCCATATCAAAGACAAACAACCTCCACCATTGGAAACATAAAA